GCACATCGGCGATGACTGTGCCGAAAGTTAGTGCTAGCCAGAAACAGGTTGTGGTCTGTGCACAGTTGCAGTAGACGGTCCCCGTTATCTGACCTGCGACCAACGAGTCCCCATCGGCCACCTAAACGACTCTCTTCTGTGCCTAGACGCCCGACCTGAGCATTCAAGTCTCCGGCTAGTACTACAATATCTGTCGAACGCACTTTCTGGAGAAGAACAGATAACTGGTGGTAAAACTCATCCTTGATTGCATCCGGGCTGCAATCTGTCGGGGCATAGGCGGAGATGACGAAGAAACATCGTTTCTCACGCCGATTTCTTCTCACTTTGATGGAACTTTCTAATCTAACAGCACATAACCGACTGTTAATGGGGATCCAATCGACTAGTGCTGCCTCAGCTCTAGCGCTTAGTGCGACACCAACTCCAGCAAGACCAGACGAAGATGCCACAGGGTCCCCGGATAAGCGCACGTAAAACAAGCTTTTCGAAGCGACAGATGGAGATCGAATTTGTAGTACTTCGCCAGAGTCTTGAGTACGGGTCTCGGATAGACAACACACGTCGATATTAAGACTTTCCAAAGACATAGCCAGCCCTATCTGTTGTCCGACCTGCATAAGTGTGCGAACGTTGAAGGCAGCCAGTTTGAATGGCGCACGTGGTTTCAGAAAAACTGCTTCAGTACTCATATTCGATGGTAACATACAACTTTCAACCGGACAGTGACTCGAGAACGTTTAGATACAGTCGGATTTCCACCAAAGCCGAGCTGCTGTATAAGTATGAAAGAGGGTGAATAATGTGGGAAATAATAATAATAATAATAATAATAATAATAATAATAATAATAATAATAATGACGACAATAATAGTAATAATAATAGTATTAATAATGACAATAATAGTAATGATAATTATTTGAATTGATTGATTGTTTTTGTTTTTCGGAGCGATAAAAGTAGTTGCCAAAGACATAGAGTTCATCGTTTGTGTGTGGGCTGTGATACTGCCCGGGTGCCCAAACCGAAGCAGGTGGTTTTCTTAGGGGGCCACTCCCCGAGCCTTTGACCTAAAGGTCTAACCCACAAGGCAGTGGAGCATCGTAAGGAGATGCAATCCCATGGTAGCCGGTGACCAAGGATTGGTTCATACGCCATTTGTTCCCGCAGGATACTGGAGCCCATGTGCACCATTGGTTTGTGATCCGGTTAAAGCGCCGGACATTCGCTTTTCGTCCTCTCATTTTTGTAAACAACACCCCCGCCACGAGAAGGCAATGAGTAGGACTTCCCTGGCAGAGGCTGTATACGCGCGGCCGTGTGAGAGTATTTCGAGAGGGAGAGCGGACTCACCCCACTCTCGGCCGTACCAGGGCATTCGGGGGCAGAACAGTACTTTCTTGGGAATGGTAGGTACTCTTGTTCTTCTTTTCATTTGTTTGTTTCGTTGGGTATCTATTCCTAATAATCAGGTTGCCAATATTGATCAATTCATTTACAATGGTGTTACCTGAGCAAATCATTCTAAAACGATAAGTCAGGATCTTTATTAAGTTTCTTTTGTATCTGATTGGCACAGCACTATAGAAGCGAATATATTGTCCATCTGTAGACTTCATATGTATCCCTCTTTTTAATGTTCCATCTGCTCTTCTAGCTAATTGGACATCTTGAAACGTTGTGCTATTATTCTGTTCTTCCTCTATCGTAAAAGTAATCGATGGATGAATGTTATTAAATATTTTAAGTAAATTCTCATTTCCATGTTTTTTTCTAGTACTATGAAAGTATCACCTACATACAGTGAACAGATTTCCGGTGGAGTCGTACATTTTGTTGCTCCATCCATTTCGAAAGAATGCATGAATAAATCCTCTGTAATCAGTGGAAATAGGGATCCAATAGCTACTTTTTTCAGATAATAGATCCTCTTGAAAAATGAATAGGCCAGAATGTAAACATGATTTCGGACATTTAATAAACTCTGAGAAATTTGGCATGTAACGTAATTTTAAGTCAGTGTCAGATTCCACAACGGTTATGAATGAGAAACGTGAAGTATTAAAATTTTGTTTGTCGCGTTATCTGCACGACTCATTATAAAGAAATTTCATCTGGATTAAGTAGACCACCTAGCTCCTGCCAAATACGTGTATTAGGAAAATCTTAAGCAAAATAAGTCTGCAAAAAGATTGTTAAGAAATGGTTGGTTGTTTCAGAACCTATAGTTTAATTCAGGAACCCAGTTTATTCTTAGGATGAAAGATTATAGATTTTTCCAATCAGAATTCGCCAAATGTTATGTCCAATTTATGTAATCCAGTCATAAGTATATGTTATTGAATAGAAATGGCTTTATTTTCTATAGAGTACATATATTTTTTGAATTGGTTATGCAATTGAGTCGGTTCAGCCCAATAAACTTTACTCTTCCCTTTTAGTCGTCTCACTTAGCTGACTGAGGGCTTGAAAATAAGACGTCTGTACTTCAGTATCAGAATAGAACACCGTAAACATAACATTAGCCTGATTAAGGATAATCACGAACTAAGTGAAGATGCCACAGGTGTTTGGAGTTTGACAACGTCTTTATACCTAACACTATTATAATCGAAGTACATCGAACTCGGCCAAGCTAGAAATGAAGTGGATCGAAGATATATATATATATATATATATATATATATATATATATATATATATATATATATATATATATATATATATAGAACGCTATAAATATTTCGCGAGGTATTTGGTCAAAGGTGGGTAACAGTTTCTAAGTATGTTTAGCACGGCGTACCCACTCGTGATCTGGTGCGGATGCATGAACGAGCGTCTTCAGCTAGGTGGCTTCAGTAAAATTAATGCGGTCACATCAATGTCAAAGACTGTCAGAATTTTTTGTTTTGCGGACTTATTTACCGTTACAGATTTCTCACAAAAGTTCGTGCAAACTTTCTCTTGGTCAAAATAACAAAGATATGGGATCATTACCATAGACAATGGTAAAGACACATCTTTCAGAGTCTTTCAAAAGAGCTCGATGTTTACTTGAACTCTGTAGGCCCTGAAGTTAATGGACTCAAATGTTACTTTATGATTACTTCTGCTACAACTTACTGACTTGTGTTACCCTTCAGTTTGAAACTGAGCATAGCGTAGACAGTACGTTTCTATAACCAGAAATGCTCTCTTACTATTCAGACTCAGATCCCGAGTAACAAATGGTACACTAACTCAACTAAACATAGTTTGTCATTTGAAGCTGTAACAGAGTTGTGGGGAGGGGGTTTCGAGAAGTCGGTGTGCAGTTCACGCTACCAACTTCTACTTTTGATTATCAGATTGTCTAATTATCATTTTTAGTTGTTTTTGATTGCTTCCATTACCAGACATAAGTGCATTCTATGTACCTACTGAATCTTTTTGGATTACTTTTCTTCACGTCCTCTCATCCAGATTCTCATACTGCTCCTCACACTCCCCAATTTCAATACGTACCCTCAGACTAGTCAAAAACCTATGAAGGACTGAACATAACAGTTGTTTGCAATGATGTATTGGCGGCGTACTTACAAGGGAAAGAGCTGAGTCGTAGTACCATTTTATGGAATGAACAAAGTTCAGCCACTTTCAATGTAGGGTCAATTGCTATGGTTAGGAATTAGCATTAAGGAACACTTTGTAGGGATGTGGGTTTCGTTTCAAATCTCAAAAGCATTTGTCACCCTGGAAAAATCAGGTCTAAGGTTATATTCATTTCATTCACTAATAAATTCAGTCCTGAGAACTTGTTCCCTAGATATTATCTGGCTTTAATTTTGCAGGATAATTTTTAGTCACTTACTTTTGTTTCCCTATTGTGGTTCCATCATTTTTACCTGATAAATCACATAGTTATGAAGAAAACGTCACATTTTTGTACGTATATGCTTCTCTTGAATAAGTCTTAAGACGAAACTAGTACCATTAATCTGTGATCCTCTGATTCATAGTCATGTCATTTCAAATGTCTAATTCCGGCTCCTATCACAGAATGCGCCTTTTTCGGAATGTAAAACTTGCGTATGGGTAATATTAATTGACGTTTGCATAATGTTACTCACCACAAATTTATAGAAAAAGAGCACGTTTGAAGACCAGGAAATCTCTACACTTCTCCATGCGTATGAGTTGGTCGTTGCATAATGCCACATATTCGTTGTAAATTTGAACAGGATACCTAAACAGCTATATTAAACAGACTTACACCTATCATCTTTGGTGGAGGAGCATAGGGCATCCACCAGGATTCTCTATTGAACTCTGTCCTGGGCAGTCCTTTCGATTTCCTAGTTTCTGTTCATTCTTCTAGTATCTGCATCTTTTCCCTTTTCCTTGAAGATTCCAAGTTACAGCTTGACTTGTGATGCAGTTTGGTGATGTCCTTAGTGTGATCTATCCGTCTTCAGCATCTTTTCCTTATTCCTTCCTCAGCTATAAACTGGTTTCTTCTATACCAGAATACTGATGGTGTCTGGCCAACAGATCTGGTGTATCTTGCATAGACAACTATTGGTAAATACCTGTACCATCTTGATGATGGTTGTGTAGTTGCTATACAAGTTTCAGCCCCGTACAGCAGAACTGTCTTGACATTTGTATTGAAGATTCTGACTTTGATGTTGGCTGATAGTTGTTTTTAGTTCCAGATGTTCTTTACCTGTAGGAATGGTGCCGTTGTTTTGCCAATCCGTGTCTTTACAATCGCATTAGACCCCCTTGTTTATCAACCATGCTTCCCATATACGTATAGGTTTCCGCCTCTTCCAGAGCTTCTCCATCAAGTGTGAATTGGTTGGGGTTGACTGTGTCACATTTGAAGACCTTTCTGTTTTTTCCCTTGTTAATGTTAATACTCACTGGTATGATCAGTCTTAGTCCATTGCAACCTTAGTGTTTAGGTCTTCCATCAGGATGGTCAGGTCCTTTCCTGGTCACATCTCCACGATCGATTCCATCCTCTCATAAGACCGACTTTTAGCGTTGTCGTTGCATTCATTAGTGGGTGCATGACATTTGGTAACATTTATTGTGATTCCCTTCTTTGTCTTGAATGATGATTTGATTATTCTGGATCCATGAGATTTCCATTCAGCAAGTGCTTGTCATGCTTCTTTGGACAGCATCAGAGCAAATCCCTTTGTGTGTGTGGAGCATTTGCATCTTCGTGACCAGAGTACAGCAGCATCTCTCCCGAATCTAGTCTTCTCTGTCCAGCTTGAGTCCAATGTGTTTCACTTAATTCGAGCACCTGCAAGTTGTATCTCCTCATTTCTGTAGCTATTTGGTTAGTCCTGTGGTGTGTGCTACTTATATTGACATAAGTAGTATATGATATTAGTCGTAAACATAAGGTCTGGAAGAAGAGAGACAAGAAGATCGAACAGTAAAGAATGGAAACAGAATGCAATTTGTATGAAAGTGCAAGAACAATGAAGTCTGAATCATTTTGAGACAATCGATGGACATTTTGTAAATTAAGCATTTACTTTATGATTGTTAGATTTTATTAACAAGTCCTGTAATTTTGTGTTATATACATTCTATTGTCCCCACTCGTGTTCTGTTCACTTCAGTCCTCCCAGTCTCTCACATTGTCTGAGCATCCTATGTACCTATATTAATTATTGATGTGGTTGTTAGAAGGGGCGTGGGTTTCGTGACTTTCGAAGAATCTTGGCACTCACTATGAGATGTAATTCTTCTGAGAGATCCTTCAAATTGGAGGGTAGACTTTAAATGATTAAACTTGTTTATTCTAGTTAGGATTTTTAGCAAGGTTGTTTCCTACGTGATGAGGTTGCTGACTCCATGCACATCTCTTCTTTACTCGAACTTTGGACCGACAGTAACACATAAACTGTATTCACTAAATTGGATTTAGCGCTATTTATATGTGTGAAGTATTTAAACAACTGAGTGTGGAAACAAAGAACATGAATAATGTTTATGACATGTTCCTCAAACATCATATGACCTTAGAAATCGCAATATAGTTGTTAAAAATATGACAGTGGTAGTATTAAGAAACTTCAGAAATGTTTTTTCCGCCATTTTTGTGCAAACGGACCACAACAATCCGAATAGAAGTAAAATGTAGTTAGTTACATCACGGCATTTGGTGATTAATAAATTTAAACATGATTCTATCTATACCGTAATATGACTCCAAGAACGGTAGTTTATTTATTTTCTCACTGTATTTGGATTTATCTATGATTTCTTGATTTGCCATCGCCATTCTCTATTTGACTATTCTCTAGTGATCAACACGTACATTGACGAGCTTAAAGTACTCATATATACTTTTAACCTAATAATAAACAAAACGATTAATCTGACCTTTGCTCTAGACAGAGGCTTCATTTGTTTAGTGAACTTTAATGACAATAGCTTACATATGTCATTATGAAGAGATTTTACGTCAAATGACTCATTCTTTTACATAAGATCGACATTTGAACCTAGTTAGGAAAGTGTTTATACGGGCTTGTATCGAATCCCTATTTACTTCGGATAATTTCGACTTTTTTTCCCTGGAAAAATTCGAACCAGTTTGCCGGGGGAAACATTGGCATTAATTAAATTGTGGTCTCTGAGATAATCTAGATATAGTCTTTATATCTAATTGGAGTAGACAGTTCAAAAAGAAAAAGAACTTATCGAGTGGTGTAAAACGTCAAGACTCAGGAGAGAATACAAAGTAATTAGATGAATACTAGTGCCACGAATTCTGAACCATGTCCATTAACATCTTCAAAAACTAGTTGAAGTTATCGCCTACTGATACGGCTTATTTCAATTGTTACTGATTTTATAAACTCAAACCATGTCTTGACCTACGGACCACTAACTGTTTACTGACCTGCTTCTATCTCGGCCAATATCAGATATTATGAAGTAGACAGTCGTTAGACTTGCGTAACACATATCTTAACCACTTCAACCGGTAAAGGTCTATGGCTTTATCAATGAACATTCCATTTTTACCTAGTACCTTGTTCCTAACGTTTTTGATCTCGATATTAGCTAGACAAGGTCGAGTGATTGACCACACCTATCCTGTTTCGGATGGCGACAGAGTATATAGTCTTAATAAGTGAGGCCTGTTACTCAGTTTAATTTAGAGTATACACACTGAAAGCTTCACAGTGTAGTTTAGAGGATAGTTTCAGAAGGTCTAAGATAAGATTTTATGGATTCGCATCAACTCAGTGGCAGATGTGGAAGATAAGAGGTTTAGTAGCAAATATGAAAAATATATTGAATAATCAATAACTTATGTTTCAGACATACTGTCTGGTTAAATACAATCCCGTTAGCACTAACAAGTGCTTGATGTACATAACATTGGTCACTGCTTAGTGGTCAATTAATAGCAAATAAAAATTGTAGTTACGCGTCCATACATATATATCTATAGGAAAGTAAAAATCCACTAAATAATCAGTGATTTGTTCTGAAATATGAAGTTTCACTAGTTTAGTTTTTAGTTTGATTATTTCCACAATTCAAAATTACCACTATCTTACGTTTTCCTGTTTTAGGAGATTCGCGAAAATCTGACAGCTGAAGAACTTCGTAGTAAAGTTTTAAATTCATCAAATCAACGTCAGTCACAATCCGATGTAAGTACAAATAACTCCGGCATAAATGGTGAAAATAGAAATGAATGGCATATCTCCAAATTATTTGTCCTGATCGTGTTTAGTATATTTGCTTTTCTTGTACAACTTGTCATGAGATTTTTAGAACCTATTTGATAAGTTATCCATACTTAATCGGTTATTTCATGGTAGTGATAACGTACAATGGTGTGTGGATATTGTGTCACTTGTCTACTCTATCGTTCTTTCAACTGTGTAAAATTCATGTATAACTATCCTCAGTGATTAACTTTTGATCTAAATTTTTAATTCTTATTGTAACTATTTTTAATTTTTTCTTTATGAATTGGTCACAATGATGGTAAACACGAATGCTGCGCATGTATCATATGATATACTTGTAATGTCTGTGATTTGTGAATGACTTTTTTGTGTAGTACTAATAAAAAGCAAACACAAGAAAAAATATGTATAGCTATAACAGTGTGGATTGTTTTAGCTTTCAGTTTGTTGCATACTCAATTACTACTGATAAATGGTGTTTCTGATGTTGTATATATACCAAGCCACTTTAAAATGAATACACTCTCAGTGTCTAGCTAGTCCATCCCCTTGTACTTTCTTCATGTTTGGATCTTCAAATTAGGCCCTAGGAGGTTTTTCTGTTACAATGTTTTTGCATCGAATTCTTGTTCGCACTAAACTATTATTGAACTTTGGAGTGCGAACCCTCCTCTACCGAAACATTCAAACGATATGTGCTGTAAGGAAAGTCTATCTATGTTTATCATTCAGTTGAAGTCGTTTTGAAAGACACCCGTCCACCATGCTTAAAGTTTTCGGACCCTAGCAATAAACGATTACTCAGAGATAATTCCAGCACACGGTAACCGTCTTGTTTGGTAGTTTGAACGACCGGTCTTCCAGTTGGGTTAGACCTACTTACTAGAGCTCCTACATCAAGCACCACTATTACCGGTTTTGAGTGCCCGGTCTTTTGAACAAAACATACTACAAACGGCATCTAAGTCTTTCCTACGTTCTTATTGTGCTATTTAGCCGGAAAGCACAAATGTTTATCGACAAAAAACTAATTAAGGGGTGCTTGTTTTGACTGCAAACGGGATCTACGAGATTATGAGGTGTTTTCCAGTTTTGTATATTAGCTGAATATAAGTGAATGACTCTATTTAAATGAGGATTTCTGACAATGGAAAGACTAGATTCAGGTCATGAAGCCTATAATACGATTGAACACAATGGGAGCTCCAACATATAGGTTAGAAAAAGGATTATGAGAAACTGAAACCAACGACACTAGTGAAACATAAGCTGTTGTAAACCAAACACGAATGTATTACGTCCTATAATTATAGTTAGCATATGATCCAACTCATCTGTTCCCGGACCTTTATTAATTACTACCGCGCCCCCTCGCTATTTCCAAATTCCATCTCCAAATGACTGCACACCTATAATTATTATTGATAGTCTTTGTCACTGTGATCCTTTTTGTCATCAATGTCATATTGTATCATACATCTAAGTTGCACATACATGATTGTAGGCAGCAGAGAAATAACGAATCCATATTATTCTATTTCAGTTGATGTTCTGTGTTTATTAATATTCTAAACAAATACGTTGCAATTTGCGGAAGGTTTTTCTCTACGGGTATTGTTGAAACAAAGTCAAGTTTTCAAAGTTGATAGACTGTACGATGTAAGCAGTTACGATATATTCCATTTGCAATGACTTGTTAAGAACTCGTATACAACAAATAGAATCGGTTAGAATTCCAAAAGTATAAAGCGAACCAGAAATATTACAAACGATTTAACCAACACATTTGGAGTTCCGATGTTCTGGCATTATGTGAAGATTGTCCTCGGATTTCATACTTGTGATGATATATTAAGCAATACTTTTTTCCCGGCATAAAAAATGAAGACATATAATTATACATGTGAATTATGTTTATATTACATATTGCTAGATTGAATTATAATGTTTATTTACAAATATCGCATCGAACTATCATCACGTGAATAACTTTTATAACCTTTTGTGAATGAACGAGGCTTAAATTTCGAATAAATGTCTTTATTTTTTGAACGAATATTGTATTTTTGTTCTCCCCCTTCTTGAGTTTCCATATTGGCATATTCCAACAATAATTTTGGGACTTTATCTAAATTACCAACAGATTCGAAAAGTTGGCAAATTCCACGTGATACTATTCTGCTTGATTGTTGTTGTTGTAACAAGGTTTCATGAATAAGTGTTATAGCCTCACCAGATTTACCCATACGACCAGTTCGTCCTATTCGATGAACATAATCATCTAATTCATTTGGGAGACCAATATTAATAACTGCAAAAACATTGGGTATATCAATACCTCGAGCAGCAACCTAATAAATGACAGATAAATGATATTTTTAGTAGCCCAATTACAAGTAAAATAGACGACTCATATCAACATTGCAACTTAGATTAGCAAGTATGTAATGAACCGTTACTTTTACTGTAGCAGAGCTAGTGATATTAGCATGGTGTTAAAAACACGCACATTGAAACGGAGGTTGAAACAAGTAACTGGATGCTCAACTGACAAGCTGTTTTAAAATTAAATTATATTTCTGAAAAGGTAATAATCAAGGGCTCTTTTTCCTAAAATGCTTTTTGATTATGAAATAAGGATGTGATGTACGCTTAAAAACCCATAGTTCACACAAAATGTTCCTAAGTGTTAGAACTGTAAAGCCAATAATGAGTGAACTAAAAACAAACTATGGTAGTAACACGCATGTGTTGTTCGAAAATCTTTGTGATATATAGCTTACATAAATAGACCAAGGTAACAGAAATTACAATGATAATTTTAATCTCAATAATAATAATCGAAAAACATCAAAATCCCCATCCGTATAACTTAGTTGGCTGATTGATAATAGATAGTTAGGAGTTAACAAGATTTATCTATCTAGTAAAATTCTGAAAGTCTGTCGTGATAAAAAAAAGTTTGTTTAGACCCAAATACATTAAGAATGTAACTATAGTACACTATGGTTTGTTGGTCAGACTGCACGCTGACATAAATTATCGGTGTGTTGTTTCTGTTTGGCGAAAAGTACTTTAACTCAATCGAGCTTGATGATTATGTATTACACAGAAAAATCTGGTGATAATGTCGAAATAAATTATAATACTACGGAAACAAAACAGAAACAGTGAAGTGATGCCTATAAATAGATGCTTTATAGCTAAAACATACAACGAAAAATTAAAATCCCACTCTGCAAATCAAGCTAACATTCAACATTAACAGTAATTGCATGCACTTCAGGGGAATTATCTTTATTTTTAAATGCAGGTGGCAAAAAGACGTCTTACCGATGAAGCGACAAGAACATTCGCTGTTCCTTTACGGAATAGATCTAAGGATTTTGCACGAGAAGACTGAGTTTTATCACCATGAATAGAGGTCGATTTTATGCCGTTAGAATAAAGATAATTATCAATTTGATCAACTTCCCTTTTGGTATTACAGAATACAAGAACTCGACAAACACTTTCCAAACCTAGAAACGAGATAAAAGTGATACGATAATGTGAAAATTAACGGTTTAATAAATTAGTGATATCTAAATTAAGAAATTACGAATGATTTTTTCTGTTGCTAAACACCATAGGCCGTGACTGACTTGTATGATTTTAAAATGAGTAAATTTATTTCAAAAAGTAATTCAATTGAAATACTTAAAATATTTGTTTACAGTAATAGTGGAAAGATTGGAAAAACGAATAAATGTGTTTGAAAAAAGACATAATCATCATGAAGTACAAACAATTGTCAAAAAGAATAATGCATATGACTAGGCAGTTCCTTTCATTAATACCTATAATAGTCATTTTATTGAATACTAATGTTTAGTACGGTACAGAATTATCAGCATATTTGCATATCTTGTTAATAACTTGCCCGCTTTTTCAAATATGTGTTTTGAAATGACTAAACGAAGTACAAGCACTTATTTAATACTATTGAATTGAAACTATTCACCCTATACGATACATGATTCATAAGATGTGTAGTCTCGAATTTTGTATAAATGCTACGGTGACTTTATATAGTAAATTATTGGAACGACTGATTCAACATACGTTTCAATAAAAATCAAAAAAACGTTTGCACTATCCAATTACAAGCAAATAAGCGTAAACGAGAGAAGAATTTTACCTAGGCTATTATGATAGGTGGGTCAGGCTAATATGTGATTCAGTCGTGTATTATATATGTGAAAGTTTACTTTATTCCCTATATCAAAGAGACATTTAGATTTATATCACTCAAGATAAGCATACACATTTTTAAGTCTAGAACGTTTAAGTTCTAAAAAGAACGTGCTAACATGTTTCAAATTTCTGAGTACCTTTATTATGAATTTCGAAAAGGCTTGGGAAAATACTACTTAGGTCTGTTCTTAAAAAATCCACTCCTATAGATATTAAACGTACTAAACAAAAGTGTTAAAAAACATTAGTGATTTACTTTTAGATTTCATTTCTAGAATTAACTGTAAAAGATGATTCGGAACAGCGGATTCAGGATTACCGACAACCACTTGGAACTGCTGATTAATTTCTTTGGGAATTATTCGTGTAAGTCGTTCAAATTCATCTTCATTTTTATTACGAACTGCTTTTCCCCACGTAGGGACTATAGTGCCAGTATTAGATTCAGCACTGCTGAGTGTAAGAGAAATACAGTTTGGACCGCGTAGAAAATCTTTGGCTAAAAGAGCAACCTCACGTGGATATGTCGCACTGAATAATGCAGTTTGACGACCATTCCCTGTTGGTGGAGGCATTTGAAATTTTGGTGACTCTAAAATTTGACGTATTTGCTCTTCAAAACCCATATCTAGCATTCGGTCTGCCTCATCAAGTATTAAAGATCTGAAAAAAGGCAAGTAATTGCAAACGCAATCTCGATAACAAAGTTAAGAAATTTGCAACAAAAGTATGGCAACAAACACAGATGACGGTTTAGCTTAATAGTACATAAACAAGAAAAAGAACGACGAGATCGTTTCATAAATATATTTCATTTTAAATATACCAATATCTACAAAAAATATGAAAAAGAGCAATGAGAGGACTGGTGGATTGAACGATTTTAAACCAACGGAAAACAAAAACGCTTGTTTGCAAATAAATTATTAGACTATAAATAATCTTTAGTTAAACAGTTATTATAAGGTGAAGAAAACATGAGTGAATGAGCGTTGACGACAATGGGACAGAAACAAAACATGAGGCTATTTACTTCAAAATATATAACTCAGTAGACAGAGCTTTTAAATAAGTCATATATTTATTTCTTTCTTATTTAATGTCATAATGGGTGTATTCCGTTTATATATTTATCATACCTTTTCCACTTAGGTAGCTTACAAATCAACCTCTAAGAAAGGAAATCTAGATAAACTGAGAAATTAATGTAACATGGAGAATAATATTATCATGTTATCTCATTAACTTTTCAAATTATTGAAAGAAATAACGAAACTACATGTCGTAAGTACCAATAATTATTATGCTAATAACCTGTTAGGTCCCGATAAACATAATGAATGGTAACCTTGGGATCCTTTTATGGACCAATACTAAACGTATATTTTTTATCGTATAATTGTTAAATAACTAAACTATTTATATTCCTCTTATCATAAAATTTATTTTGACCTATGAACCATTATTATACGTTTTACCATTCTTGAATTATGCCCTTTCTATTAGTCACTGCCTCCCACATCCACATTTGGCCATATTTTG